CATAGCTTATTTTTCTCATTAAAAGAGGAAAAAGAACATGGTAAAAGGTTGCTTTCTTTTTTAAATAATCCTGAGGAAAAGCTACCAACGCAACGTTTCTCACGATCCTTTTCCAGCAATAACTTGTTATTCGGGTGAGGGGCGGGAGGAGAACAATGTAAAAACCGCTGAAACCGGAGCCCAGCCACATCAGTGCGCTGCCCGGAGTTCAGCAGATCGCGGATGAAAACGGTTCCCCCCAAAACCCGGGTGAGGTTCGCTTCAGTTCCCAGAAAACCTCCTGCTTGGTCACCGCTACACGCCTCACAGCTCCCACAGCAGCTTGTCATTGTGGGTGCAGGCAGAGGTTGGAGGACAATCACACAATCTGGGGACACTGGTGGATTTACAGCAACACTCTCCATAATTAAACCCACGATTATTACAGACTATAAAGTTTAGAGAGGCTGTCCACTCTCTAAACCAAACAATTGCTTTTCTTTTTTTCTTCTCTTGGCTGCCGAACATACCACTGAATTACTTCAACATCTGATGTAAAACAAAAGCAACAAGGCTGTGATAATAAATTTCAACAACCCTGAAAGTGTTCTCCTCTTCATTTGCCTCTGAGACAGACAAAATAACCCAATCTGACTCGAAACTTAAACTCTTAAAACATCCCAAAACCTTTGACATAGACTATACACTTCTAAACCAGATGGTCTGGATTGTTCTGGAAACACATTCACCCTCACCACAAGCTGTGACAGTAAAATATGTTGCAATCAATCAAGATAACTGTGTAAAATGCACAAAGATGGGGGCGAGGTTGGTGGAATAACTGTGTGCCTCATCATGCTGAAACTTGTCCATGAAAGTGTGTTCATCTGAGGAGAGGGGGTTTAATTTTACCTAAGATAAAAAACAACAACTACATCTTCCACTGGGGTACACAAATATATTTAAATTATATCTTTCTTAAAACTAAAAAAGGAAAGTAAAATTAGGTAAATAAATAAATAACTGTCTTCAGGGATTGCTGCAGCAGATGGGAGCTGAGTCGCAGCTGAAGGCATTTATTTTTTGCTCGCACTGCGTCTCGTCATGAATAGCAAAGATAGTCTGCTGTAAATTTCTCCTGCACAACTTTATGCAAGTAAGGGGTGTCAACTTTCAAAAGGAATGCTGTAATGGGAAAAGGAAAGTTTTCATAACTGTGAATGCGGTCATGGAGAAAACGTACAATAATCCAAGACCGAGGAGCTAGTAGAGCACCTTGAGCATCAATCACTTTCAGAAGCTGTAGAAGAAATTTGACTGATTCTTCTGTACGTTGGTTCATTTCACTGGGGTTTGGGAGGATTCACTTATGTCTTATGTTGATTACATTTCAATCAAGTTCACAATACATACATTTGCATGAACTTCATTTTGTGTGTGGATCTACCTTTTGTCTGGACTTTGCATCCCCTTGATTCTTTTATTTTCAGTAATTCTGCTGTAGATTTGCAGCTGTATTTAGAAAAAGTTTGAAGCTGATGACACGCTTTGTGCCAAACCTCAGTTGTTAAACGAATGACCTTACACTCGGCACCAGAAGACTTTGGTATACAGATGAATTCAAGTTTGTACCAGTGACTGCGTTATGTCAAGCCCAAGCCCAAACCATTACTCTCTTGACAGCTGGAGTAAGTTGATTTGGTTTTCTCCAGTCATGGAGTTCATTAACTTTCAAAACGCTTTATGACTGTGTATCTGTGAACAGTGCTATATAAAAACAGTCCTGCTGCCATATTCTTTACAGAAAAGATGTTTTCTCCTTCCATCCTTCCAAATCAGCCATATGGGTTCATCTTCTTCTATTTGTCTTGTCAAAACCATTAACATTCAATGTGCACAGAGGGGCTTGCGGGGCCTAAAACTGCATTGCACAGTCTGACATAGAGGTGAATTTACTCTGACGTCTATTCTTAGGAAGAATGAGTCGTTCTTATAAGTTTGTCATTTCCTATACAGGAACCAGAGCCAAGTCAGAGTACCACAGCAGAAATGACTCTCAACCTGCCCAACACCATCTGGGCAGTAAATGTATCTCACTGACTGAATAGGCTCAGGATCACGGTTTTTGTCATCTAACTATTTTCTAACGTCCATATTTTATTAAATTTGGATCAAACTGTAAAAATAAGTATTTTTGTTTGGATGCTAAACTTAGCTTCCATGTTGAATAAGACTCAATGGTTCAAAATGAAAATTGTTATTTTCAAAATGAATTTCAAATAAATTACAGCTAACCGTTTTCACCACAGTAAAACACTTGGCTTATTGCTATGATGGTCAGATTTCAATAAAATTAAAGTGGCTGTAATTAACTTCCTTGTCTTGTGCTCCAAAGCAGCAATGGTCTAAGCATCAGTGGACAGAATTTACAGAAACAGTGATGCTGTGAAATATGAAAAGCAACTAAGAAATAGTCTTGAGGGAAGTTGAGTCATGGGGAGCAATTGTTTCAAATTAAAAGCAGAACTTCACAATGTTTTGAAATATATTTGATGTTAAAGTATGATGGGCTTAAATTGCTTGGATATTGCCTTCTAGGAAGCATCATCAGTGGCTTATCTGAGGTTATTGCTGATATATTTCTTTGTGGTTGTGCTATCAGGATCTTGCATGTTCCAGGTGGACAAGCTACTAAATTTCATGCTTTTTAAAAAGTGCCATACCGAATGTAATTACTTAATTAAGAGCATTAGATTAGTAAAACCTGGCTGCCAGTTTCTCCAAAAATCCCTGGAAGGAATTTATGTAGATATTTTACAAGGCAGGAAAATACAGCATTTTTCTCCCCCAGCAAAAAACTTTTATTCCAAACATAAAACGTATTATGATAAAAACCACAAGAAGCCAAAGAAATGTCATCTGGATTTGATCAGCGTAATTACATAAATAGTTTAGGGATTTTTTTCTGCTCTAAAAAAATTCAGCTGTCACCTAGAATGATTTTTAATTTTCAAAAACCTGCAGGCAGTTTGATCTTTTCTCATCAAACTCAAATGTAACTTATTAAGCTGTTTTTACATGCAGGGAATAACATTATTATTATTATTATTAATATTATTATTTTTTATTTATTTAAATTTTTTTATTTGTGTATGTTTGCATTCTTCAAAACTAAACAAAAGCGATGTTTAGTAATAAGCACTTGCAACCCATGAAGAGTTTCTGGATCAACAGCAAACAACAATACAGTCATTAATTCAGACATCATTAAAACATATGAACCAAAGAGTATTAGTTTATAATGCTAAAATAATAAAAAAATAAGCTGGTTTCTGGGGATTTAAAAGAAATGATTTGCTTCAGTGCATTGAAGAGGTATCTACTCCATATCCTGTTATTTTACAACTACAAATATTTCTCAGACAACACAAAGTAATAAATAGTTACTAAATTGAAGGAAATTGGCGTATGTGTCTAAATTTAGTATTTTGTATTCAACATATGCCGCAGTCAACAGTTCGGAAAGCCAACAAATGTAGCTCAAGATCATTCAGACTGGAGGGAGATGATCTACTTGCACAGGTTCAAAATTTGACTTTGGTCTGAAGTTTATTTATTCTGTCATTAGTTTTAACATTCAGGACGTGGTCAGGATTATGTTCCACTATATATGCTGAAACAAGTAAAACCTGACAACATCAACTTCATTTTCATGTTTGTAGGTGTCCTCTACTGTATATGGGATTCTCATGGGTTTCATTGAACAATATATTTTGTCCTCTTTATCATAAATCTGCTTTGTGAATTTTACAATAATTGCCATGCAAGAAGTTTCTCTTACCAAACCGTGGACTTCTGCAGCTTCTCCAATTCAGCTTCTAGTAATAACAGCAGACTATTTTTGAGTGGGTGACCATTGTTTGATTGAGTTGTGCCATACGCTACATTTTAGACGATAGATGGAATACGGCTCTCTAAAAAATGAGATTTTTTTTGACTATTTATAGACAATTTGCAGCTTTTGCATTTACTTACATGTGGAGGCATCAAAGTAAAGAGGACTGTGACACAAATTCAGGATATGTTATCTGTACAATATTCTAAATACCCTGCATCATTTACCAATTCCCAGGAATGAACAGTGTTGATCTACCACATAAAGTCCCAGTAAACTATGCTGAAGTTTGGGGTTGTATGTAAATAAATATGAAAAAGTTCAAGGGGCATGATTACTTTTGCAAAGCCGGGGAAATCCATGTTCACGGATAAAACAAAAGAAAACAAAACAAAACATATAATCAAATGTTCCTACAGAGCTTTTTACAAGTTGAAGTGGCTTTATCTGGCCATAGAAGTCATGCCTTCCTCACATGATGGCCAGCACAGCCAGCCTAAGCAACGATGCTGCAGATATTGCTAGCCTCAGGGAAGGAATATATCAGCATTAACAAGATGTTCCGCATAGCTTGGACCCCTATTCATTAGCTTTACACCAGAAAGAGCTCGGTTCACGCTGGCCAGAGTGCTAGAAAGGAAGTGGGCGATCTCAAAACACCTCTATTACCTTGTCCATCAGTTCTCAGCACGCAAAGACAGGATTAATCATAAAAACAGACCGAGCGCTGCATTTGAGCGACGCCCACAGTCACACCTCTGACCGGAGGCAGTGGCGTGTGCATGAGTGTTTTTGCAGCAACAAGCAAAAGATTCCACCACATTAAAACACCAGCAAGGAGTAAGAAATATGGAATACGGAATTTTGTTGCAAACTTTTTGAATCATAAGCAAGTTATTCTTGGCAAAACGTAGAACTGAACACTGCAATGTATTTTATGAAAGCAGAAAGACGAGAAAAATGTGCACTTTTGAATATTAGACAATGTTGCATACAGCATATTAGGACAATGTGTGCACTTTAATACAGCAAGTGAATAAAATAAAATTATTGTCTGACATTTTGATTCCTCAAATATCAAATAGGAAAAAGAAACAGACAGCAACAGCTTTGTTTCCACGGTTACCTGAGGACAGGCGACGCTGATGGAGGGGACAAACACCACTGAAACATGAACAGGCCTCAGACGGACGACCTCGTTGCATGGGGGGAGCCAATGAGCACTGGGGCTTCAAAAACCCTGCAACATATGAAAGGAAAATGCATTAGGAGTGTACAAATAAGGACTAACACTTGATAGACAAATTAAAAAGAGACAAATTGTATTTTTTCAGAAAGTTGAGTGGAAGAAAAAACTGCAATAGAAAATATTCTACGATTAACTTGACCGTGATGATTCGAGCTATGCCTTCCGCTTCTAGCAGTCTGCAGTTTTATTGAGCCTAATTTTACATTTTCTTCAACCTCCACTATAAAAAGAAACTTTTTGGAAACCCTGACTTCATTCTCTCAACAGTTTAAATACCTGGGTTAATAATCACAGTATCAGTGTATCTGATTGACCAGAAGGTTGGCCTTTGAGAGTGCTGTGTCAAAGTATATAAATAGAAAATTCAGTGAAAGTAAGAGTGTGGTTAAAAAAAACGGAGGCTGAGAGCAACAAGTATAACTTGAGAGGCTTGAGAAGCAAACTTCAATCCAAAGCTTGAGGGAGATTCACAAGGTGTGAACTGCAGCTGGAGGCAGCGCTTCAAGAGCTACCAAACTCTCAGTTCTCTCCCCTGAACCAGAGACAACATCTGAAGCATCTCATATACGGCTGAAGCCGGATTTAGTCAGACCCCTGGCTGAGTTTTTAATTTATGAAACATGTTATTTCAGACTGTAATAATAATGTAATAAAGTGGAGTGGAGTGGAACTTCATTCTGATAGGGAATCTGAGGAAGAAGTGAAAGATTGAGGTCTTCTAACGTCAAAGTCTTGGAGCAAATCACCAAACAGAAAATGGTCAAAATACCGACGGAAAAATGCAAAAAGCTGCTCAGCAAATAAAAGAAGCATCACATTGTTATTATGCCAGTAGAGATTTGAGTGAAAATAATTTCCAACATGGCATTTTTTTTTTTACAAAAGAAAACGGCATTCTATAAATTATATAGAAATGCAAAATTTTCATATAATATATAACATTTAAATAAAACATACTTTTTAAAATTTATGCTCATTGTGCAATTTTTCTGATAACTGTCAACTTAAAACATTTATATTGATGAAAATAATGAATCTAAATCTGCCTGGCTTATAAATATTTGATTAGTCTTAACAGCATGTATCTTCTGTGTAATTTCCTCATCACAATATCATGTAAAAGCTTTTTATTGAAATGAAATAAGACAGTAATGTAAAGTACCTCGACAGAACAGTGGATTCCACTTCATAAATCTCAATCCATATGCATGATACAAGCCAGAGGATAATAAAAAGTAATACATACAATTCAAAGACATAACAGAACTGTCTGCTTCACTTCAGTGCATTTAGCTCCATGTAACATGTTTTTAATGGGAAGACAGGAGACACACACCAGTTATGCATAAATTGAGTTTAAATTGATGTACTGGAATGAATTAACTTTCAATTATATTCTAATAAATTGGGCTGCTATTTATTAGAATATACAGCTGGACTTCACCACGACCTTCATCCGCATCTGGATCAAAACTAGAGAATCAACAAGATGATAATTAATGGTGGAGGGGTGGAAGGCAAAAGGCGGTTGGGTACCGCTATGAGTTCTGCTGCTCTGCGTGGGCAAAATGCCACAATAGAGGATGCCTGAAGGGGCTGGACCCGGCCGTCTTACTGTCTGTCTCTGAGGTCATGGGGGTCAGTCTCAATGGGGTGGTCATTATCTGGCACAATAAGGCAACTGTGGAGGCTGCAGCCCCCTCCAGCCAAGCACTCACCGGCCATTTGCATCATTCGGCAAAAAAAGAGGGAACAAACAAGCAAACTAAAAGAGACCTTTTTTTTTTCTTTTGTCTACACTTTATATTGTGAACCAGCCAATGGACTACAAAGAAAATTTATCCCAGGTGACTAAATCTGGCATGCCTGTCTACGACAAAACAAAACAACAAAAAAGATATTGCAACAGTGTTTTGGAACCAAAAGGACCAAAAACATGTCAGAAATGAGATTCTGTGTTTCCGACTTGATTCCTTAAACAAACTTTAAGTGACATATGAGAGGTATTTCGCTGACTGACATTGAGGCTTCTAGCAAAGCTCAGATTTATTTGTGCACTTTGAGACGCTCCGTTTTTATTGACTCGAGGGGATCACGAGGCAGCGACAATCTTATGAAAATTCTAACGTTATTTAGACCTTTGGATTTTCAGCAAACATCAGTAGAAGAAGCCGCCCTCCCGCTGCCTCTTCCCTCCCGCGTCACTCCATTCGGAGCCCAATAAAGCTCCTTTATTTCCAGCATGAAAAACATGTCACTCCAGATGAGCTCAGAGAGTGACATTTAAAACAGGAAACGGGATATTGAATTAGTTCCCCATCATAAGCTGTCTTGGATGCTGATATTTTTATTCTTTTTTTATGTTTTTGGTGGGTGCGCGAGCAAAAGTTGGTGTGCACATGTGAAATTATGCAGATGTGTGACCAGAGGAGATTTTATGTTTGATGCTTTTCGCTCAAAGCTTTGATAGGATCTGATGGAGCAAAGGCAAACACGAACTGAGATCATTTCGAAAATTGCTAATTAAACATAAGATGAAGAGGAATTTCAAAATATTACACAAGAAGCACAAATTATTTTTCCTCAGATCATTTATCTTGTTGTGTACAAAGTACAATTGTTATCAGATGTTGGTAAATGCTAAAAACAAAAGAAGTGTTTTTCAAATACAGTTTTATGGGCGTCGTTGAGAACAATGGCAATGGGGAGAGCCAAAACTGTGACGTTCTAACAGTGTAACTTAATAAATGTGCACAATAACTTTAGAGCTTTGCTTGCGTTTCAAATGCTCCAACATGGAAGTAAGTTCAGAGGATGGTGTAATAATACATCCAGTTCCCAAACCAAAGCAGGACAAGATTTTAAATATTTATTTTAGGAAAAAATAGAAATGTTAGTTTCCACTAACTGGGTTTCATAGGTTTGCAGTCAGTGTAGAATAATTACATTTTGTACTGGAGTTTCTAAACAATTAAACTGAAAAAAAAAACTTTATTTTTCACAAAGGGAATCTAAATTTTATCATTTGTATCCTTCAAAGAGTTGTTGAAGATACTGATGGATGGCTGTGGGCAAATCTTCTGTAGCAGTCAGTGTCACAGCAATCCTGAGGAAGCTTCTGACTGAAGTAACTCTGTTGTTGTAAAACAGTCATTTTATGAGGAATCCTTCTTTGCTTCAAATTCCCAGAACAAAATCAGCCTTCTTCATCTCTTTGCTTAGGTTTTTAAAGTCTGGTATTGATGCTCTTATATCGCCTCAAAACTCAATCTGGAATGGTTTAATGATCTTCCCGACATAAAAAAAACTGTAAAAACAGATCCAGAAAGGAGATATTTCAAATAAATGAGTCTAGCATTCAAAAAAACAGTAATGACTTAAATAATGTGCTACAAATAAAAAGCTAAGTAGACTGTACATAAGCCTTCTTCCCAGGCTTTGAGACAAAGAGTCTTTCAGAGTTATAACCAGAAAGTATTTCTCCATACCATGAGTCCAAGAGTAGCAGAAATGCTGTTTAAGAGTGAATTAGAGTAGGGAAAAAAAGGTTACATTTACTTAACCACATTTTCTCCATCTTCGCCAAAAGCATCAACTTTTAAAGGGACAAAGTACAAACCATTTTGTATAAAGAGGTTGAAGGGCAAACAGTGACACATGCTCCAAGTTCTGAGCAATGTCATTGAACATTAAGGCATTAGCATATGAGCCAAGCCTCTCCAGTCAAGCTGCACTTTTCCAAAATCAGGAGTAAATTAAGGAGACAGCAGCTCCCCCCCCACCACCAAAAAAAAGCCCCACACTCCAAGCCATCCACTGGAAAAATGTTCCCACGGGACAGAGTTATGTTATAGTATGAAGTTGGATTTTTACCTAAAGCTGAGAGGGAGCAGAGGAAAGTGGGACAAATTAGTTTTAGACAGAACATGATCTCAGCATCTGAAAAAAAAAAAGAAACTTTATCCTTTGCTATTTTCAATGTAAACACACATCTCTGACTTAGATTAAAATTTTGTCAGTTGCTAATGATTCATTACTCGACTTAAAAAACAACCGATTCCAAGAAATATAATTACGGAGCTAATAAAACATTCAGCAACGTGACGGCTGAGAAAATATTTGGAAAACTGCAGATTTAGGAGGCACATATCAATCTTATTCTTTTGGCTGAACCCTGAATTATTTTCAGCAGTTTTACCTCTGTGGCGTCAAAGTAGACGATGAAAGCGGGTGGACGTGCTTGTGCAGGTCGAGGATCCGCTGCCATGAGTGGTTAAGGTTGGTACATGTCTCGTCATTAAATCCCAGAGTTCATGTTGCATCGTTATGTCTTGGCTCGCATTTTTGAGCAAGAATGTTTGTTGCTTTTTATTTCGAAACAGAAAGAAAGAGTAAAACTATTTAGATCCTTTCAGTTTTTCACATTGTGGACCACAACGCAAATTTCAATGTATTTCTGAGTCCTAATCATACTATCAGTATAATCAGTGCACATCTATCTGCTGGGCTATCACTGGAGTCACAATAAAATATATGGATGTTTGTGAGTGTTACTGGACAAACTAATACTTTTGCAAGGAACAATATCTGAATATGTTCAAACTTTTGGGTTGTTTGTTGCTTGCCTGCCTCAAATAGCCAAACTCCATTTTCTTTAAGAGAGATCATAGACATTCAGGGCAATGTAAACATCCTGGAGGTTTCCTCATTAAATTTGGGCTGCAGACAAAATCACATATAGCACACACAGTCTGGTGTTAATGAAGGAGAGCCTGAAAGATGCTCTGCTAATGAAACTAGGGCTTTTATTGATATACTCGCTTGTAAAACAGAGCCTTAATGACAAGGTTCTAATTAAACATAGATGTGTAAATTTACAACAGCAACAAAACCAGCAGATGAGAGCAGAAGTGAACCATGCTTGTTTAGATATATTTTTAAACTACCAGGTTCATTTTGAGGAATCTAACGAAAATAAAGCACAATTTAAA